TAGCAAATAGTTGAATACATTAGCATTAATTTCAATTTTCCAAACCATGTACTCTGAGATATCATTTATCAAATATGTTAATGGCAACATGTTCAAAATGGGCTATAATAATGCAAATACTTGCTGTAGTTCCTTATGTTTTAATTCTTATTCGATGATTTATTAATATTGTATTACCTTACTGTATATATGTAACTTTTACAGGTTTTTCCTTCTTTTTTATTCAATATGCAATGTTATTCTATTTTTATTGTTAACATATTTAGAGTTAAAGATATAAACCTTTACTTAATAAAATAATCCATGATTCTGCGCGTATAGGTCATCGTGTCCTAATGGTTATTGCTCCAGGCGACCAATTTCTGGCGAGCTATCATTGACCACAATGTAAAGGGTGTTTATTAGAGGTATAGAAATTTAAGTTGGTAACACTGTTTTTCCTGTCGGCCATTTTAACAGCTGTCAAGTGATATAAATAATATAAGTTCGGTTTGGCATTTCAGTATAACTAGACTTGATGCCCGAAGAACGCTTCCAAATTGTACAAATTTAGTTTGAAAATTGTGGTTCTGTTAGAAATACGTATCGCGCGTTACATCCATTTTATGGTCAACATAACAGTCTATCAGAGCAAGTAATTAGATTATCCATGGAACGCTTTTGCACCACGTTTATTCTAAATGATAATATGCATCCACAGACACGTTGTAAAGTGCGTACAGAAGAAGTTACTGCTGTAGAGCGTAGCATACAGCATACAGGATGACCCAATTCAGTCTAGACCCGCTGCCATCTTGCACAGCAGTTGAATACGTGTCCATCCACTTTATGGAAGATTTTGCGGGAAGATATTGCTTTGCGTGCTTACAAAATCCAACTCATTTAATCACGAAAGAATTGAAGGTCACGAAAGGTCATTAACTAGCAAGACGTAGATTCTTAGATTCGGTGAGTGGGTCCAAAACAAGATTGTCGTTGATTCCGAGTTTTATAAGCAAATTTTGTTTAGCGAGGAAGCTCACTTGGTTGAATGGCTACTTCAATAAATAAATCTGCTTTATTTGGAGTTGAGATAATCCTCAAATGTATGTTGAGAAACCATTACATCCAGGAAAACTGACTGTTTAGTGTGCTTTATAGTCTGTTAAAATAATTGAACACTACTTCTTCAAAAACGATGCGGCCAGAACGTTTCACTTAATGGTGACCGCTATAGAACCATGACTACTTCCTTTTTTATTTCCCAATTTAACAACCAAGATGTGCAGGAGCTGTTGTTTCAATAAGACGGCGCAACATGTCACACAGCTCGTGCTCCAATTGATTTATTAAAGCAAACATTTGGTAACCGCAGAGTTTTACGTTTTGGGCCGTGAATTGGCCTCCAAGATCGTGCGATTTAACATTGCTAGACTATTTTATGTGGGGATATGTAAAGGTGTTAAAACGTTTGACCACTTAAAGGACAACGTTCACCGCGTTATTGCCGATTTACGGCGACAAATATTGGAAAAAGTGATCGAAAATTGAACCTTTATATCAGACTACGTCAGAGCTATCCATAACCATATAATGCCAAAAGATTATCTTTGGAATAAAGTCAATTTTATGTCCATTTATGAAAATCATCTTTGTAATATTTCATTTCAAAGTTCCATACCTATAAAAAAACACCCTTTATAATATTCCAGTGGTTGCTAATTATATTTCTGGCCTAACAATAAAAAATAAGTATGCATAAGTATGTATAATACACTTTTGCGTCCGTTTAAATCCTATTTTTGAATCACTTTTTCCACTCAGATTGAGGTAACTCCAAAACATGGGTTTTGAACGCTCCGACCACTTCTTCGGGCGTCGAGAAGGAGGTATTGGGAGAGGAGAAATTGGGAGTGTATGGTGGATAATTAAGTTAATTCGACGTTTTGGCCGGTCAAAAAATCCACTGCGTGTGCTGATGTGTATGAGCTGGCATTGTTATGGTGAAGAATGATTCGTCTCTTATGATTCATCTCTACTTATCCTTTTTCTGAATTTTACTAAAACTTCTAGCAAACAAATCGTTGTATACCATTCATAATTGACCGTCTTATGTTCTTGTAATAGCACTGTAGCTACATGACCATTTATATCAAAGAAACAAGCGACTATATTGTAAACCACTATAAACAACACAAATATTGCTCGTACGTCAAAAAATGTTACGATATGTTTAGTAGGAAGAATTATTGCTGCGGGGATGGAGGACGAAAACAAACAATGAACTATCAGACCTATATTAAGACCCGGTTATAAGTATGTATATAAAATGTACATAATGGCTTACTTTGATTGGATGGATAATGAAACGATGCCTAGTATGATCCTACTAAGGAATTCAGTCACTTCAAAAAAAACCGTAGAAACGATGGAATACAAGAGAATCTAAGCAATATAAAAGTATCTGATTTAAAAAAGAAAGCACTGGATAAATTGGAATGGAGGAAACTGGTAATGGAACTTTTTTCCTACATTTTCAAATCAGAAAACATTTAGAGATGCATTAAGGGAAACTAGTATGTTGAACACTAAAGACAACCCAGAAGAAATGTAGAAAAGTTTCATAAATGCCATAGAAACCTCTGTAGAAAGAATCAGAACCGAAAAAAACTAATAAAAAAAACACTGGATGACAGACAGAACGCTGCAACTTCTCTAAGAGCGAAGGAAAATCAAGTCTCTCCTATATCAAAACCACAGCACCAAAAACGAATTAGCAAGGTTAAATAGAGAAATTAAAAGAGCATGTAGGGATGATAAAAAGAAACATGTAAATGAAGAATGCAAAGAACTAGAGAGACATGCAAACCGGTATGAATTCCATGAGCTATATAACAAAGTACGATATCTATCCAGGGAATTTAAACCAATCACACAAACAATAATGGATCAAAACAAACATATTATAAATCACAAAGAAAGGATTGCGGAAATATGAAGCAAATATTGTCAACATCTATATATAGATGATCCCCAAAATTATTCTAAATTCTCTAGAAACATTCTAAAGTCAGAGGTAGAAAAAGTAATCAAAAAGTTAAAAAATAAAAAATTTCCTGGCGCAGACCAGATCACTGCAGAAGTTTTAAAAGAGACTGAAGATGTTGGAGTAAATGTTGTCCCAAAAAGATTTGGGAAACCGGAGAGTTTCATGTTCCAACGACTGGACATCCACTTTCATCCCTATATTCAAAAAAGGAACTCCACTTTGCTGCAGCAACTAGAGAACGGTAACCCTAATACCCCATGCAAACAACTTCATGTAATACATTAAAGACTAGACTAAAAGCTTTTCTATTGCCTCATATATCAAGAACAAGCAGGATCTGTCCCAGGAAAAGGCACAAGAGAACACATACTAGCGGAAATGGGAACACCCCACTACTTAATTCAACGAATTAGAAGTCTATATGAAAATAATAAGTGCACAGTAAAAATAAACAACACCCATTCCGATCATTTCAGAACAGAGGCAGGTGTCAGGCAGGGATGCATAATCTCGCCAACTCTGTTTAATATCTACAGCGAACACATTATGCCAAAGTTACTAGACGGATGGAAGGGCGGAATATCAGTAGGAGGTCAAAAATCAATAAATTGAGATATGCTGATGACACTTTAATAATTGCGGCAAATCAAGAAGAAATGGAAGACACAATGAGATGTCTGGAGGAGAAAAGCAAAATATATGGACTAAAGCTAAATAGGAATAAGACAAAGATCATGACAGTAGGCAGAGCTCGGAATAATCTTCAACACATTAAAGAAATTGGGAACTTTGAAGTAGTAAATAGTTTCATATACCTGGGGTCCCTAATAACAAATGACTGAGGGTGTGACACAGAGATACGTAGAAGGTTGAATATTGCTTGAACAACTATGATGAAACTGGTAACAATTTGGAAAAATTGTAGCATAATAATACAAACAAAACTAAGGATGGTAAGGGCACTCATTTTTCCCATAGCCGCGTATGCATCCGAAACGTGGAGCTTAAAATAAGCGGACAAAAATAAACTAGACGGTTTTCAAGTGGGTATCGATATAAGAACAACTTAAAGTAAAGGATAGATTGCTTAAACAAATACAACAGAGATATTTGCAGTATTTTGGACACATTGCTAGAAGAACAGGTACGACGGAAAAATTGATAGCCGAGGGTAGAGTTGAAGGAAAGAGACCTAGGGGAAGATATCTAAGCCGTTGGGTAGATCCATCGAGCAAAAAGACAATAGAGGGAATGTAAAGGTAGTGGGGGCAAACATATTGTTAGACAGGAAGTGCGATCTTTAGAGGCCACTTTAAACAAGGAAAGAGAGTCTCTCTCCTTGTTTGACATCAAATTTAGTTGGGTTATGTTATTGTTTATCCCAAATGTCACATGAAATCTTATTTATATTGAAGTTTTTTAGCAATTGTGTCGCATTTTAGACTCTTATCATTAATAATTAATTAAAACTTTCTCGTCTAAGACACATTTCGAAAAATATTATATAGCTACTGTTGATAAGTGTGTACTAAGTGTCGGAAATTTAAATTTCGCGCATTCGCATTTCCGGATATGTCCGCCATCAGAGGCCACTTTTTTGGTCTCCTTTTCATAAGGATTAGATTCCCTCTTTTGTCTTATTGCTCGATGGGTAGATCAAACAAAAATATTGATTAATCAAGGGTTACATAAAGCCGAACAACTAGCCCAGAACAGGAAACGATGGAGGAAAATCGTAAAAAAACTGTAAAGTCTTGATGGTGTTACCACATCTCAAAAGGGATTAGGACTGAGGAGGAGTAATGAAACTGTCACATGTCGTAAAATAACGTGAAAAAAACATATATTACGTTTATGGTATTTAAGAATGCTTTAAATGTTTTACCCATGATTTCTAAGGTCTATATAGTAAACATTATACAAAAAAATTTACCATTGAAAAGTGTATTTTGAGTAAACTAAATTTTTTTAGGTGGAATAGTTCGGGAGAAATGTTGAATAAATTGAAGTAATTATTAAAAAAGTACAAAACATAAGAAGAAAAATACCAAGATGGGGAATTCCTGCAGCAGCGGACAGGCGCACAAAGACAAGGACAACATGTCACAGAGGTCAGAAGAGTAAGTAAACTTTATTGTTTTCTTTCTGTTTCAAGGTTTTTATATAGAAAGTGTCTTGTTGCGAAAAATTTTAGAATAATGAACTTATATTGAATAAATTACAACTATTGGAATATTTTTCATTTTTGGATATAAAACAAATGTTAAAATATTAAAACGTTTAAAGAAATTAATTAATAAATTGGAAATTTTTATAAAAAGTTAATAGAATGTAAGCTACTTATATAAAAGATTATTTGAAAATTACCATTTATTTGAGTATTATGATAAATGTACTAGATATTTCTTACTTAATAAGTTTTTAAATCTTTATTTAATATAAACTAATTGTTTAATTGTTTATATACTTGTATTGTACACAGAAAGCTAATACAAATTAGAAGACTTCCATTTATGTTGAATAATATTCAAGATATTACAAACTACGTAAATATGAAGTTGAAATTTGACTTTTCATTGCTTTTAAATTTCAATTCTTCGACTATTCCCCTTTCACTCTCACTATCCTTTTACGTTTAAAGACTTGCCAAGTGTTTTTTTTTAACTTTAGGGTAGTAAAACTTAATGTTATAGTATTATTTTTTTTATTTGATAATGTTTTCAAATTTATAAATAAAGTTGTGTTAAACTTTTAAAAACTTCGCTATATGGTAGCACAACTTTATTTAAATTCGTGTAAAAATACGTGCAAACAAAATGTCAGATCACGTCAGTTCTCCTGCTTCCGTATATAGCAATTAATTGTGTTGAATAATAAATTATCATTTATTAAATTTAGTTAATCATTTACCTAGAGATTAAAAATAGTTCAAAATTATTTTTATTGATATTTTTAGTAATATATTTTTATTAATATCCAGATTTAACCATAAGGCTCACACTCCCTTTAAGGGGAAAATTCACTCATCCCAGATACCTATGATATCCAAAGTAATGAGCTCTGGTGGGACTCTTTCCTTGTTATCAAGATCTAGGTGACTTGGTATGGTGGAGTATCCCCAAAAATTTTCGTACACATCTGGACGTCGCGAGAAGTACAGCTTTCTGCATGGCCTTATAGAGATGTTCATTTAAACCCAGCTGTTTTATGTTCTCTAGGAGGTTTTTAGGAATAACACCAGTAATAGATAGAATAATAAGTGCTATCTGGGTAATATTCATTCTCCATTGTCTCCTGATTTGTATTTCGAGATATCTGTACTTGGCGATCTTTTCGTTGTATTTAACACGCAAATAATTGGTGTTAGGTATCGCTACATCAAAAAGTGTTGTTTGGCTATTAAGTTTATTAACTAGTATGATATCCGATTTATTATGTAGCACTGTTTGGTCTGTGAGCACAATGTGGTCCCAGTATAGCTTGTAGTTGTGATTTTTAAGCATTCTGTCAGGGACGTATTGATAAAAAGCAAGTTTAGAGAATTCCTAGTTTGTCAGCTAGTTCTTGGTGAATAATCTTCTTGATTCTTGCATCAGGTTCAGCAGCTTTACCATCTTTTAGTTGTGATATTGCTTCATCTAATGTAATTAATAAGTGGTCATTACATAATATGAAGGATGGAGGTTGTTCAGAGATTTTATTATTACTCTTAACTCATTTGCTAGTATTTTGATGGAGCAACTGTAAAAGTAAAGTTCGTGTAACCAATTGGCTAAGATTTAGCGTTAGGGTTTTCATGTCGCGCAAGCGCCCCTAACATGACTTAACGACTAATTATGTAGCCGGGACCGACGGCTTTTTCGTGCCCTCCGAAGCACGGTGGCAGCTCAGTTAAATTCGAAATTGAAAATTTTGTCAGTGGCGGGGTTCGAACCCGAGTCCTCCAGCTTGTTAAACCAGTAACATAACCACTGAGCTATGGGTGCCACGAAGCAACCATAATATCAGAGCATCTTAGTGGATGCTCTGAGCATCTCATTAAGCATATCATTAAGATGCTCTGAACAACTGTAATATCGGAGCATCTTAATGGTAGTCAGGCGAAAATGAAATAAGTTGCGCTGCAAGCAGTTTCATTGACTACTCAGCACATGGTCTGAGTTTGGTGCTTTAACAAAGCTGCAACGGTATTTCTAAGTCCCGAATTTTTTTTTTTTTAAGGGTTAGATCAGACAAGATTTGCTTCACCTGTTTTGAGACTCGCGAGCCGCCACTGAAAAATATGGTTTTATTTTTTACTTAAATTGTTAATAAATAAAAATATACGAAATAAAATGGATGATTTTGTATATCTTTTATTATTCTACGTATATAAAACCTAAAACATCTAAAGCGACTGTCAAAAAAAAACACTAAATGTTGATCATTTCCCCGGCTGCACACGGTACAATTTAATTACATACATTCGTTTATTAACACTAACTTTTGATAGCATTAAGTACAATCTGAAAACATCTGACATCAGAAAAACTGACCTACACCAAATGATAAATTAGTTTTTGTCTAATTACCGCATAACGAGGAAAGAAAACATATAAAACAATATATTTTACCCAACATCTGCACTGTTTGTCTATTAAAACCTCATAAAAGTCGGAAATGATATACAGTACGTAAGAATATTTATTGGATCATTTATATGTATTTATCCGTGCATAATTTGGCTAAATTATTACAAATAAAAACAAAATATAAAATCAATTTTTTTATTTTTTTTTTATTATTGAGTTAATGCCTCGACAACTAAGATCATTGGCATGTTACAGTCAGGTACCTAGTGTAGTATGTGTGTGTGTAGAGTAATTGTCTTGATACTTAGCAAAGTCGACGTCATTGTCTTTGCTAAGAGACGCTAATTGTATCCGAACGTCTGCGGTCCCTCCGGTGAGTACCGATCGCACAAGGATAGAAATTATTTTCATTTATTAATTTTTAATTATTTTAATAAACGAAAATTTCTCCACACAGATGTGATTCGAACTCACGACCTTTAGGTTTAAAGGTAGGCGCTCTTAGCACTGAGCCACAGAGGGGGTTAAAATAAAATTGATAGATTAAATGTTTCTTAATATCGCGGATTAATCATCCGTCTAAGCTTTCTTTTGCAATTTTGGTGTGTTTGGTGTGTATTTTTTACCCATTTCTTATGCTTTCCTCCATTTGTTTCTTTAGCGCATCCATAAATACTTCCATTGTTAAATGGTCAACTCTCTAAAAAGTTTGTTCTTCTAATTGGGGAGTCTGGGGGAAAAACAATCATAGTCCACTTTTGGTCGAAATGGAGATGACGAAGTTTTCTAGTGATAAATACATATTACTTTCGGATAGTACGAAGTAAAAGGGAAAAACACTTACAGTCCTGTTATTAAAAATGAAACGGTGTACCGGGGAAGAACCATCATAGTACTCGCGCTGCGAGGGAATAACCGAAGGCGCCCTCTCTCTGTCCCAACAGGTCGGGTCGGGTGCACCATTTATGTGATTCTCTTTCTTAATTTAGCGACTTCGTTGGTGTGTTCTAGTTTTCCAGTTGATTCTATTTGAACAATAGTAAAGTAATGAGTACATACTGATTAAAATGGAAAGTAGTGGTTGCGATTGTAGTGATGTAGATGTGGGGACTGCTACTAAAAAAAGAAAAAAAAACAGGCCGTGTTTCATGACGTTATGAAACTTGTAAGAGCCACCACTCGTGAGTCAGGGCCAGATTGCAAGTGCCACCATTTTCGTTGTTTTGGGAACATCAATAAAGCTGAAACGCGACGCATTTTGACTCAATTAAATGAACTTGCTAACAACGACGATCAAAATCAATATTTCGGTGTTTTAATGTTCGTACGAATAGCACGAAAGAAGTCACCAAATGAACGAAGAAGTATTGACAGACCAAAAAAAGATGGTGAGTGAATTTAAACAATTTAGTAGGTTAATATTGAAGAAGGAATCGGCTTTAAAGCCTACATAAAAATGAAGAAGGAGAAGAAGAAGAAGGTGTTTTAATAACCGTTCTGGTCCACTTAACCAAATATTTAAAAAATGTAAACCATAGAAAGTTCTACACTGATTTACAAGGTACTAAACGGGAGGGAAGTTCTGAGGAAGAAACATTTTGTGACGCAGAAAAGAAACTTGAAGGTACTGGGGAAGAACGTTCATTGTCCATGCCAGCATACTCAACTTTTTGTATGATGTTTCGCAAATAAAATATTTTTTTGTCTTCTCTTGATTTTTCCTCTGTAAACATGCCAACGTACCACTGAAAAAAATTACCGATTTAATCGGTTGAGTTAAAACAATTTGTTTTAATTTGAAACATTAAACTTCGATTTCCATGAAAATTGTTCTTGTGGACTTTTTGTTTTGCCCCTTTAACTCCTCAATTTCCTTTCTATTTAACTGCTCGATTATATCACAGATTCTTGCATTGTTTAAGTAGCTAATGGTAGCTAGATGTTCTCATAGAAAAATGTGGGTTTTAAAACCAGACATATTATATCGGAATTATAGCCCAAAGGTACCACCATATAAAAGTCCAAACCTTTTGCTTGGACTTTTATCAAGAGAATCTTGTAAGTTACTTTTATAGAGAGAGGAGTTAATTATTTGTGATGTGGATGGAACCTTTTCGCTCATAAGCGGATGTTTTTTTTTTAAGATTGGTGTAGGGGATCTTGCAAAAGGTGACACAAATCTTGGAGAAGTCTTCCTGGAGCATGACGTCAACGGTTCTTTGAACTATGTCAATGAATTTGCAGCAGGTAGGTTGGAATTTGATTAGCTTTTCTTGTAGAGAACCAGAAGATGGTCCTTTGAGCAAAGATTTGTCGGTTTTTGCATCGGAGCTTCGTAAATCCGCCTGATTTTCGGGTATAATGATGTTTAGCGATGTCATGTTACAAGTTTTTTGGGCTTATAGTTTTCTTTAGCTAACTTAATGGCCATTAAGTACTAGAAGAACTCCATCCATCCAATGGCACTACAGCCCAAGCCGGGCCTTGGCCTCCTTCATTAAACCTCTCCAAACATCTCTATTTACTGCTGTTCTTTTCCATGAACGCGT